GCCGCTAGCAATACGCGTGCGCTGAGGAAAGGAGAGGAAATAGAGTAGGAAATTAGGGTTTAGGAGTGAGGAGGAGGTATTTTTATACTTGTGCTTTGAATCCAACGGCTTTGATTTATCTGGTGATCATCCAACGGCGGAGAATAACAGTCCAATTTCGTGCCGGGCCAATAGTCGTGTTGTGCCCGTGCCGGCACTACGGGCCGGAGTTGCGGCCTAGGCATGGCACTACCACCAGTCCATGCCTGGCATGGGCACGATGGGCCTCGGGCCGGGCCAGGCCATGCTCGGGCCGTGCTTTTTAGTGCCGTGCTAGTGCCGGCCGAGCGGGCCTAGCACATTTGGCCAAGTATATAAATAGGAGTCCTGTTCTAGTATGGTTCTACACTCAAGTCCTATTAAAACTAAAAATCCTAATACCAAATCTTCTTGTTGAGTCCTAGGAAGTTGTAATATGATGGAGACTTGTAACCTATGCTAAAATGCGATCTCTACATGTCTTGTTTGATCTCTATATGTCTTATTGTGATGTTGGCAACGTTCTTTGTGGTATGTGTGTTGATCTTTTTTTTTTTTTGAGATTGTATGTGTGTTGATCTTAAGCATTGCCTTGGAGCACATACGACGACTGTTTTAGTTTAAATTGAAGGCATGTTCGGTCAATCGGTTGTAAGCTAACTAAGAAATGTGGTAACATATGGCCTGCCAGATGACAAACGGGGAGCATATACTAGCTCTCAGTTAAACCCAGGACAATTTCGATGGTTCCTCAGTAGCAGCCTGTGTCTAAAAAAATGATGGTCAAACTTAGAGATAATATACAAATTCTGCATGGATCTATCCACCCCACAATTAGAGATGATGTCCAATTAAGCCTGACCTACGAGGCTACGGACATGTCAGATCAGCCTCACATAGTAGTACTGTATACTAGGAGAACTCGCATCCACGGTTTTCATAAAAAGATTCATACCATTATAATTTTCGACGTTCGAAGAAACGTCATTATTATTCGTCTACTTTGAAACATGCCATTATAATTCTTCGTTTCTCACGAGAATGCCACATAATACGTATTGAGACGATTTGGGCCCAGCTGCAGGTGTATACGGATACTTATATCTCATTGCAGCCCCTTTCCTTATCACTGACGTGTGGGCCCCACATGTCATCTTCTTCTACCACCTCTCCTCATCTTCCCTTGCTGAGCGCGTCGATGGCGAGCAGCAGCAGCACGCAGGTGAGCGGAGAACGCGGTCGGCGTGTTGCTGCTGCTCGCCCGCATGACTGTGCTGCATGACGTCGGCGGCGGCTCGCTAGCTCGCCCGCTCCACGCCGTCCGCGTGCTCCATGCGTCGCCCAGTTCGCCCGCTCCGCGCCGGCCGCGTCCTCAGCGCGCCGCCCAGGCCGCGAGTTCCGTGCGCCGCCAATGCGCGCCAATAAGCGAAGCGCTAGGCGAGCGGCGGCACCGCGTTCGATGGCAAGCAGCAAGAAGAAGACGTCGCGAAGCTCACAAGACCGCGCACCAAAGCCGCGAGCCCCTGAGCATGACTCCCGGCTGCGTGCTCCGCATGCCGCCAAGGCTGCGAGCTCCGCGTGTTGCCCGGGCCATGTGCTCCACCGGCCACGTGCGCCCCACCGTCGGCTGCTCGCCCGTGTGCTGCTGCTGCGCGCCCGCGTGCTGCTGCTGCTCGCTATGGATACGCTGCTCAACAATGGAAGATGGCAAGAGGAGGAAGGAGATGACATGTGGGGCCCGCGCGTCAGTGATAGAGATAGGGGCTGCAATGAGATATACGTATTCGTATACGCCTGCAGCTGGGCTCAAATCGTCTCCATACGTATTCTGTGGCATTCTTGTGAGAAACGAAGAATTATAATGACATGTTTCAAAATAGACGAATAGTAATAGTATTTCTCTAAATATCAAAAATTATAATGCTACGAATACAAATAACCCTAGATAGATCGCGAGTCGAGAGACGATTTTTCCGGGGATCGCGTTTATTTGGGTCTGATCTGTATCCAAAGGAGCCCTTCATAAAACGGCACATGGTCAAGATTCTCTCTTAATTAGGGCCTTGTTTAGATTGCAAGTTTTTTCACTCTCTCTCCATCACATCAAATCTTTGGACACATGCATGGAGTATTAAATATAGATAAAAATAACTAATTACACAGTTTGATTGTAAATTACGAGACGAATCTTTTGAGCCTAGTTAGACCATGATTGGACAATAATTGTCAAATACAAACGAAAGTGGTACAGTGCCAAATACTGATTTCTAACCCCAATCTAAACCAGGCCTAGCTCTGCATGTGAGGTCATCACGGCTAAAGATGGCAACGGGTAAAATCCGCGCGGATACTAGCCCTAGATATCCATACCCGCGAGCAAAAATCCGTGCCCGCGCCCGCGCCCGTTAACCATCACGGGTAGAAAACCATGCCCGTGCCCGCTATCCGCGGATATCACATGCCCGCGGGCACACCCGTATACCCGCAAAAATGAAGCAACAAAGCACCCAACCATATCTTAATAGCAAGTAAGAAACAATATATCAAAAAATAAACGTATATATCTCAACATTAGATAAAGTATGACACATTGACCATACAAGAGTCATCAAAAGTCTACATTAGTGTATCTCAAGTCATCACAAATTAACACGAATAAAGACATACAACCGTATATAGACTTATAGGGTCATTGGCGCGGGTCTAGCGGGTTTGCAGGTGCGGATATCATTTTTCCATGCCCACGAGCAAATATCCATCGGGTTTAGAATCACACCCATACCCATGCCCGTGGGCACAAACTTAAACTCATATCCATGCCCATCGGTTTTTCTCTCCGCGGGCACGCAGATATTTTGTGCCCGTTGGCATCTTTAATCACGGCACATGAACTGGGCTGTGCAGCCCTAGCTTTACAGAGCTCCATTCAGAAGACCAGTCCTTGTTGACCTCGAACTGGGTCGCCATCTGTCAATGGAGGACAAACAAACAAAGGCCACGACCATAGTACTATAGGCGTAGGAGTGAGTAGGTCTCGGAGAGACCGAGAGACCGATCAACCATTTCCATTTCCGCAAACAGTTTCGTTTCAGACAGAGGCGCCATGCATGCATGATTGATCGAGTACTAGTGGTGATCTTATCTATCGCTAGGGGGTGCGATTATATTAGGTGAAAACGCGGGGCTTAATGAAACACGTACGGCGTCGTCGCGTCCGCATGATATGGCGCCGTGACGCCGGTGACCATTAATTTCAGGGACGGCCCTTGTCGGCACATCACGTCCGACGGCTACAGTGCCGTGACGGCCTTTAACATGCAGGGTGCACGTCGCGACCTGAAGACGCGCGGCGCCCTGTTTTGCTTTGTTTATAAACCGTATTAACGAACAATTTTTTTCTATCGCAACGATTCAGCCAAACGAACGGGGCAAGATCAGCCACAGCCAGCCCCACGATTCCGGAGAGATTCCGGAGAGAGGGAGCTCAGGAGACGCGCACCACTGTGTGTTGCCCGTTGCGTTTCCGCTCCGATCCATGCATCCCACTGGCGGACTGGGCTGCCTTTTCAGTTTCAGGCTCTCACCGCCGGTGTCCTTTCGCGTTGGAAAAAAAAACATGAATGACGGCGACGTGACTGTATCTGTACCTGTACTATATGACTGTATGTATGCGGCGCGCGCGCGGCAGGCCACGGCAGGCGGCAGCTCCACCTCCACTCCACACATCGACGGACGGCGGGTCGGTCACCAGATAAGCCCGGCATCGCTTTTCACGCTGCTGTCCTCAACAGTTTCTGCATTCAAGGTCTCCTTGTCAAGTCAACTCGTCGTACGTGTGACTGACTGAGTCCAGTACCGGAGTTGTTGTCTCTGGTGACCGGGAATCGTCTGTTGCTTGGACATGGACGACGTTGAAACTGATCACAACACAATAGTGCTTAAATGATGGATAAGATGCATAAGTTCACAACAGTGCTTTGATACGGGCGCTAATGACAAGCTAGTGGAGGCTACATCACGCATCAGTTTGCATCTGCAGAGATTAACTTCGTTGTACTAGTGCTTAATAATGTGATAGCATTCTCTCTTAAAGCACTCATAATCACGGATAAGCACCTTGTACATGATGATCTCTTCATGTTCATGTAGCCAATAATGGGTGTCACAATTTGGCAAACGAGCAAACAAAGCCACCACCATCATCGTAGGATTATAATTATGCCATGACTGACGACCATAAATCGATCTACTGTACATAGCTAAGTACCTCCATCTCCATGGTACATATCCAATCATTTCATAATAAGCACGCCAGCTTTATGATTAATTTCGTTGCGATGGCAATAATGTTTTTGCCAACCATAATATCCCAAATCCTCATAAAGAACAATACTATGAAACCCAGAAAAAAAAAAGCAGAAGTAGAATTAATGTTAGGATTATATTCTCATCTCCTGGTCAGATCGTTGTCTCAACGATCTCAGTTAAGCTTTGGTGGATCCGATTCCGGAGAAGCTACCTAGACAATATGCAACCAGCTGATGATATTCGCAAAGAATCCCAAGATCACAGGCAGCATCTCCTTGTGGGGAAGGGGATGCATATATCCTCCAAACAAAAGAAGCAAATCTAACAAACCTTTCTAATTCTCTGAAAAGGACACAAAAGGAGAAGGTACTAAAAGGCTGGCTGGTCTCCACCCTGGTCCAACGAGCAAGAACCAGTTCCAGCCAAGAAGAAAGAGCAGCTGTGTTTCACATCAGATAAGCAAAGGAGGAAAAAAAAAGTTAACTAGGTTCTCTAGCAGAAATTAAGCCTAAGTAAGCGTACGTGCCACATGTTTTGAAATGAAACGCAAAAGGGTGGGAAGCTAGCCCCCTCTCTCTAGCTAGCTAGGAGCAGTCGGATACGTACGGGATCGATCGGACGACGGCCCGAGAACGAAAAAAAAAACCTAAAGCGAGGCCTGCCAAGTGTGTTTATCATGAGCCTAAAACTCCCTCGGGTCGATGAATATGGAGTGCCTGGCCGGCGCCTTGGTCCAGTCGCCAGAGCGGGCCGGTGCTGTAGTCGTCGGCGAGGCGCTTGATGCACCAGAGGTCCTCGGCGCCGAGGCGCGCCCAGTGCGGCACCCCGGCGCGGACGGGCTCGCAGGCGCCGACCTCGGTGGCCACGACGCCGCACCCGCCGTCCCGCGCCATGTTGTGCGCTTTGCGGCAGAGCGCGCGGGCGAGCCTGGGGCCGTCAGGCCCCGCGCCGCCCAGGCCGTAGAGGAAGTAGAGCCCGAACGGCGCGAACAGGTTGGGGATGGAAGGGATCCCGAGCCACGGCGCGGCGCGGTCCACGAGCCGGGTGACGCCCGCCGCGGCGCGCATCAGGCGCGGCGCCCCGCGCACCTCGAGGCGGAACGCGTCCATGCAGTTCCACACGCTGAGCACGGCCCACGACGGCGGCGGCGCGGCCAGGAACGCCTCCACGCCCTCCCACCCCGGTCCCGTCCGCGACGAGGACCCCGACGGCAGGGCCAGGAACGTGCCCAGCGACAGGTCGTTGGACAGGACGGCGTCGGTGTCGGCGGGGAAGAACTCGACGTTGGCGAAGTGCCAGCGGTAGAGCAGCTCGGCCTCCCGCCGTTCGAGGCGCACGATGGCCGCGCGCCGCGAGGGCTTGAGGGCGTGGCGGAACACCGGGTGCACCAGCACGGACGGCGTGCGGAACTTGGCGTAGCCGCAGCGGCCGGTGAAGAGCCGCACCGACGGCTCGTTGTCCTGCTCCGTCGCCATGTACGAGTACTCGGCTCCCCTTTGACGGAACCACTCCTCCATCCGATCCACCAGCTTCTTCCCCACCCCCTTCCTCCTGCAGCCACGCACACGTCAACAGTGAACTAACAGTGAGCCATGCTCCGTTCGTGAAACTGTATGTAAAACAACGCTTTGTTGTGAAAAACATTATTTCGACTGAAAAAACAAAGCCAAACAAACCCAACTTTAAACAACTTTTAAGACATATATATTCGCGAGTCCGAGCACGTTTGTTGCTGGATTCGCACGTAGGAGTACGTACGTACCGGTGGCTGGGCGAGACGCGGAGGCCGAGGATGTAGCCAACCTTGGTGTAGATGGGGTCGTCGTCCTTAGCCTGCTGGGTGGTGCCAGTGCCTGCAGTGCCAGAGACGACGGTCTTGACGCAGCCGCGGACGAGTCCGGCGATCTCCGTGCTGTTGGGGCCGGTTGCGGTCTCCGCGACCTGCTTTTCCATATCGGCGCCGTTCAAACATGCGTTTCGGGCAGTCGTCCATTAATTTAGTTGATTGAGTTCCTCCATCCGGCCGGGACCCACGTACGTGTACGGGCGCCGGAACCGGAATGTGAGAAGAAACGAAACGAAACGAAACACGACGAGGCGAAAGGAGACGAGGGCGGGAGGCATGTGGGGACGGGCGGAGGACAGGTGGTAGGCTAGGTCGACTGGTCGAGCGAGCCCAGCAGGCAGCAGCTCACCACCTCACCTTGCTGCATCTGGCCGGCCGCTGGGCCTGTGGTGCTAGCTTACTGTGCTTAGCCGCAGCCGGCCCGCAGCACGCACAGGCAGCCACGACCACAACGTGGGTGTATAGCCGACAGAGCAGACAGAGGAAGAAGCGAGCAGCACGTACGTGGTCGTGTATACGTATTACGTACCAGCATGAGGGAGTCCGGCGAGTGGCGAATGCGGCAGAGCGGGTCGCCGAGGAGGTCCGTGAAGAGGCACATCTTGCCGCCGCCGCTCATGCACCCGACCTCGCACGCGCGCTCCACCTCCTCCACGCCGGCGCGGTCGCGCGCGTCGTCGTCGTCGTACGCCCGCACCACCACGACGGCCGGCGCCTCGACCATCTCCCGGGAAGACGAGAGGCCGGAGCTGGGTGTGTTTGGTGCTTGCTGATATAGCAGTTGCGAGGCCGCGACGCGAGAGGGGTGAGGTGATAAAGAAGGGAGTGAGGAGGCCGCAAGTATGAATCACGTGAACGCCGGCGCGGGCGGGAGGCGAGGGCGTCCTTTTGCGTGCCTGCCTCCTCCACAATTACTCCTCCCCACACACGCACGAAGGAGTAGCGGCGCAGCTATCCGCCGCCCACTTCCGCACTCCGCGGATATCCCCGGCCGGTGCAATAACTGGCGGCGTCCGTCTAGCTTGCTTAGGCAGGACGCGACTGCGTGCGCGGGACAGGCCCGAGCGCGCGGTTGGGATATGATGCAGCTCAGGCTCAGGCTCAGCTAGCTAGCAGGAGCAGCCGCGCTTTCTTTTCGAAGGAGAGGAGGAGGCGGCGGTGGTAAAGCTGCTGCAGGCGTGTAGGAGCTAGCTCTCGAGCGGAGCCGCAGGCTTTGCAGGGAGGAAGACCGGAATAGGATCGGAGAACAGGTTGCTATGACACTACAGCCTCCCTATAGCTAGCAGAGGCCGGGGATGCTGCTCAGTGCTCACTGTAGGCGCGGATGGATGTGGTGAGTAACTGAGTGGTGAGTGGTGACAGTGGTGGTGTAGCGATCCGCAACACACAGGGGAAGGCGGCAGCCCACTGCTGCTCATCAGGCTCAGCTGCGTTGATGGCGTGACCGCGTGAGAGCCGCTTGCGGCTGCTATTTATACCGGTTTTGTGTACCCTCGGACCTCCGAGTTGGCCCCACCAGGTGAAAAAGGTACACTCACTGGGTCCCGCTCTTTTCCATTTTCCCTTTGTTCAGTACTATATGTTGGTTTAATCTTCTTTTTAGGCATGTTTGGAACAATGGAAAAATTTTCTATTATTGTGTTTTTCGAACTGATTCCTGTGAAATTCCTGCGCGATTCCTGCGAAATTCCTGCGTTCCAAACAGGCTCTTACCATATCAACTCGAGCTTTAGCATGGTCCAAAATCTTGCGCTATATAGGAATTGAAAGTTTTCTACATAAATTTAGTACGTGCAACTAATTAAGCTTGTTTATGTTTCTTCTATATTCTTTCTTTAACATAATAAATACCCATCTAGATAGTCTATATTAATCTCTATCTGGTTGTGATAAATTTATCGGTTACAATATATGTATTTTATCCTTTAAGATTGTACCTTTGTGAGTTTTTAATACCTTGCTCTGCCCCAAAATAAATGCCATTTGCATAGGGACAGGGGACTATATATTTAGATAAAATCTTAGTTTAAATTATATTAGTTCTTGTTGCTTCCTTTTTGTGATATCATGAATTTATATTTTGGATTTCAACTTTTAAACTTATATTTAGTTGTTGAAATTTTTTTCATCCACTCTCAAATTTTCCTTTTATCTTTTCGATCTAGAAAATGATTCTTGGTCCGAAACTCCACCCGTAGTTAGTTTTGCGATGGTATACATAGTTGTTTTGGTGCGCACCATAACACTCAAGATGTCAAATTTCCTTTATCAAAAAACTATGTGTTGTAATCTAATCTAAACTAGCACAAAAATAAATTATTGTCGTAGAGTATTAGTATAACTTAAAGTGATTTGTTAGTGTCATTTGGTATGTGGTTCGATAAGACCTAGATGATCTAGTGGTAGCACCAAAGGGTTCAGCAATGGCTAGTTGCAACAATCGGCTAACACATTGTACGAGACTATACGCACTAGATGATATGTGTGGCAGAACCGTCCGAAATAACACGTTTTTGGAGGCGTTCGTCTTCCACTAGACACTAAGCACCCCGAAAGTTAGCAACATCGGACAGTTTCGTCGAGCACACCCCACAGGAGAACTCGAATCAATCCACGTTTTACCTCTATAATCCAATAATGAGTACGAGCTTATAATACTTAATCTATTTCATATAACAAGAGTTCTTGAAAATTATTTATTACAATACCATGGTTCAGAGTGTGATAATTAAACATCGGAATGAAAAAAAACATCTAGCCAAAACGATACAAGGATCTGTTTATGCTCATCAGAAGAATCATCCACACAAGAGCTACTCCTCAAGCTACACCTACAATAGGGTAAAATAAACCCTGGGTACATAATGTACTCGCAAGACTTACCCAATTAGTGGGAATAGTTTTCCGACTCCAAGGGTTATGATAGGCAATATGTGTTTGATGTTTTCTTTTTGTTTGTGAAAAGCATTACTAGATGTACGTTCTTAAGATCAAATTTAATTAGCAGTCATGATTACTTCATTAGCTAACCATTTTAGGTAAGCACCTATTCTACTTTCAAGCAATGGTTGAGCAATCAGAACCAATTTACCATCTTTCATATTTCAGTTCTTACTACGGTGCTAGACCATAGCCAAGTCGTACTGTCTCACGAAAATGACGATTCACGAACCAATGTATCCTAGCTAGGTACCCCCCCCGAAACACACGCTTCGCTTGTACCCCAGGCACAAACAAGACCAATCCATTCCACTCATATCACGGGGTCTAGGTCCCCGTCCAAACTTGGACTCCAAGCTCCAACACTTAGACCCGGTCTCAATATAGTGCTTAGACCTCCACATTTCTCCGCCTCCAATCAGTCAGTCCGGAAAGAGCCGGAACCCACGACAAGAGCGTAATGAGCCTTCTCGCTCCTATAAACAAGTATGTGCTCAGGATAATAAATCTATGACCTGACTACCATCCACAGCAACGGACGGTCCTCAATTGACACGGACAGGAAAAATAGTGTAACCAAGCTAAGCCCCGTGGCCACGGGACACAATTTGTTATGCCCACCAATACACACACCATATCCCTGTCTGGTCTCCATTTTCCTTTCATCATTTTTATCATAAGAGTAATTATAATAATCACCTATTGTGAGTAACGACATGTTACTCACGCTACCAAAAACCTAAGCATAGTAGCTACTCGAAAATGCACTAGTAAAGCTCATAGGACAGATATATATATGCATGTGGTTTTCATAAAATTCCTGTAACATAAATGCACATCACATATATACATATATTGATTATAAAAAATAAAGGTTATGCACCGAGGCTTGCCTTCGGTAGGCACGGTGTTAGTTGAGTTAGTTTTGTAGAACAGTTGGCAGGGAAATTTATTGAATAATTTTTAAAAAAAGGAATGGTAAGTTACCTCACTGTCAGAAGCGAAATCTTCATCTAGAGCTATGTAGCTATGATGGACTGACCCACATAAGAGATGGAAGTGCAATTCTTGCCACCAGGAGTCAAACAAGTTGGAAGAAAAGGTGACTCTTATCCAGTCATGCAAGCAAAAGGAAGGGAGATCTGATCCTAGTTGAAAGACTCTAGAGGCTTCCATTACTTCACTAATACCTTCTCTTGGCTTCAGTGTATTCTTAAAGAACAGTTGAGGAGGTAGTTGACCAAGGCCAAATTGATGGGCCATGAAACATGGATTGTAGAATTCGTAAGTTGGAAGGTTTTCTAGGAGAAAAGAATCGGTAGCCATTTTGCCACGGCCAAGGCGAAATTTAGCTGGCAATACACAGGGTTTGATGATGCAACTGAAAATTGCTGCAGCTGTTTCATCTGAACAGCATGATTCAAACCGAAATTTGACTAGCAGAACTAATTCATTGTCTTCATCTTCATCATAAGGCAGCCAAGTCAAGATGTTTGCATCAAATCCTCTGTAGAATTTCTTAAAGAGATGGCCTACATCGACATCATTTGTTATGGCTGATGCAACCTCACCATAATTCATACACTGTCGAGTTCTTCCTTCTTTTCCTTTGTAATCTTCAGCAAAGTTGGAAGAAGGAAAGCTTAGATTTCTAAGATCGGGTCTTACAATCTTGTGCATATACAGGTTCAGCCATAGTTGTATCAACCACTAAGGGCCACTAATGGTATGCACTCGTTCGTTCTTCAGCAATTGGACAGCTACCTGGTGCATCAGATGATAAGCAGATCCTAGCAGGTATTTTTTAAGATGAATTTCATTGCCAGATGCTAGACACTTTGCCAGGTATTTATGATTACAAGTTGGACCACAAGTTGATCCACAAAAGATGAATCTTTCTAGCCACATGTTCAAGAAAGCTACATGTTCTTTTTCGGCAATAATTGATTCGTCTCCAATGTGGTTCAGAATGTAGGTTGCCCATCCTGTGCAGTCTGATATTTTGGCTAATTTCTTGTAGCCAGCACTTAAGAAGTTATAAGGTTATATTGTTCCTATTATTCTAAGGCCGGTCAACATATAAACATCAGCCAAAGTGATGGTCATTGGGCTGTGACCAAAAATGAAACATTTAAGGTATTGGACCAGAAGTAAGATGCAGAAATCAGAAGTGAATCATTTCTCTCCATTCCAGATAGTGAGAGTGTCAAGCATTGATTCAAGTCATAAATCTCCCAATCTCCCGCCTTTTCCTCCGATACTCCATGAAACCAATCTCCATCCCTTAGTTATTTTGGGTCAGTTTCTAAAGGGAGTTTTGGTGTTTCAGGATGAACAGATCTACTATAGATTGTTTGAAGGGGATTCGGTTGGTTTCTTGACTAATAAAGTCAGATGGATCAGGATCACCCATAGGCCCAAGATAATTGACATTGGGAACAACAGTCGATGGAATCAAAATTTTGTTCCTCATTTCCTAGAAATCAGATATAATAAATTTGAGAATGGAAATACAGGGTAATGGCTAATACTTGGAAGATGGGAACTTGAAAGCATACCTCAGGGACGTGGTCGCTGGCCACCATCGTAGCCAAAATGGATTTGAGTCTAAGGAAGGTTACTTGAATAACAACTTGATAGAGCAGGGGTTTTGCTAGGGTTAAGGCATTGGTGATGGCGGCTTTGGTTGATGAGGCTTGCTTGAAAAAGAAGGGGAAAGTGAATAGGCCGAGTGAGTTGAAAATAATATTGTTGGGGTATTATATAAAATTCGAACATAGAAAT